AATTAAGTAGTTAACCTTAACATTAATAAATGTGTGGAATTCTAAATTTATAATATAGAAATCAAGGAAGTATAAAGTAATGGTAACAAATCATATAAAATAGCGGAAGTGAAACTAGGATACATAAGCATATTAATAATTAAGTTATATTAATTATAATATATAGTAATAAAGATTTTTCTTTTGCTGGTCTGTTCGTACAAGTATGTTGCAAATTGCAGGCCTCTCCTAATTAAAGGGGTATGGTATAAATTACCGCGGGGACCAGCCTTTGTGTAATGTTAATGTTAAGGTTAACTACTTAAATATTATTTACTATACTATTTTACTTACATATTATTATTACTATTAATAAATAATATTAATAATTTAAAAAAAAAACTAAAAAAAAACTTGAGAAATCAAAAGAAGAAAAATAGAAATGATTTTGTATCTATAAATGATTCACACTCAAGTAATACAATCAATAAATAGGCAAGGATATCTCAATAAATTACATTCTACTTGCTAAAATGAAAATATATTCATCCTTGTTTTGATTATAACATTCATAATTTTGTTCAGAACCCGCTCAGATATAAGCCAGGGTAGTTAGTATATCATCTACATCTTCTGTGAGATTTAGCATGGGTGAGGTTTTCTAAAAAGTATAATGTTTTGTTAATTTTCATTAAAAAATATATAGAGCTAACTATGTATAGGCATTGATGACTTGGGGTTTTTACACCTGTAAACAACAACAAACTAACTATATATAACATACAAATAATTATTTAATTAAATGGTATTAATATTTAAGATATTAGTTAAATATTTTTTTTTATTTTTAAAATCTATTTAGGGTTTAAGCATAAAAACTATTTTTATTTAAACCACGAGGTTTACAATGAACAGGTAAACATTTCAACAAATGTAATTTGTAATTGGTAAACAAAATAATTTGTATAAAATAGATGATATATATATACATATATATATAAAAGAACTGTTGATTTCTTTATAAATTATTTGAATCTTAACCAAATCAAAGATATTTTTGATGTTTTTTTATAGCTGACAACTGCTGTCTACTTGTTATTAATTTTCCTGACATATAGATGGTAATATAACATATTGTTTAGATTTCATTGCAAATTTTATAGTACAAAGAAAAAAATGTTAAGACCTCTCCACAGCTTACAATGTGATTTATTGATTCTATTTGCTCATTTACATATGTATTTGAAATATATTTGCTAAACTTAGACTTGACATTTTCCAATCTTTTTATAAATTGTTACTTGTTACTTACAACTTCTGTGGGTTGACAATCAATATGTGCTATAGAAAGTTAGGTTCTTTGTCATTAGAATCATGAAGTTTTGAAAAACCAGAAGTATCAAAATGGAAATAGAAATATTTTCATATTATAAGGAACAATAAATTTAAATATGGTTTAAATTATATATGTATGTATAATATCCGACAAATCAGAACATTATAGAGTTATTTATACAGTTAAAGTTATTAATTCATTGTAATTTATAAAGTTTGTTGATGATTGTTAGAAAAAAAAAGTTAAATTTATCAATAAATTAAATACTCATAAAACCTATCATAAAATCATGAACTTGAGCTATTTGATAAAACCTAAAGGCAATTATATTTAATTGTTAATGATGAAGTAGCTATGAGTCATTCAATATTATCAATTTTATAACGATACATGATTATGAACAAATATATCTGGTTGTTACCATCGCCACTAGACCTAAACTGTGAAACATTTTTTAAAAATAATAACAAATTATCCAACTATTTAATATAAATTAATATTAAGTTTGTGGCTCAAATAATTATTCATTCTGAAGTGTGATATAACAAATATCATTTATTTATAAAATTATATTATGCTATCTATATTTTTTAATATATGTAAAAATCGAAAATATACTTAATAATAGTTTTTTTCTTGAATCGCAATATAATTAAATTATTTTAATGAAAAATTAAATGTTTATAGTAAAATTTTAAGTAAAAATAATATCAAAAGAAGCATTGGGCTTTTTTTTTTTTTTTAAATAAATGTTAGTTTGTTTCAAATTATTTAATTTAAATAACTTTTTAGTATATCAAGAGCTGTTGTTCACCTATTCTATTTATTTTTAAAAATTAGTACAATGTATTTAAATACTTACGTATTAAAAACACTTTAACAATGAGATTTTATGAATAATTTATAAAATATTAAATTTTACAAAAAAGATATTCCGGTACCGGGAATCGAACCCGAGCCTCCTGGGTGAAAGCCAGGTATCCTAGCCACTAGACCATACCGGACTGCGTCAGACATTAGCAAATTATATATCATAAGTTTGTTATATGTTAACAATATGAATTAAGAAGCTAAAAAACAAATTAAACTATCTTCGAAATTGGAGATTGTTTCGATCAATTAAGTCTCTTGCGACTAACTTGATGTTGCAATTCTAAATCGAGGTCATGTGTTCCGCCCACACAGTGACATCGTAGGTTGAGATGAATATAATATGTATATATACATTTATTTATATTTTTTTAAATGTTTATATCTTTTCTTGTGTTTCGTTTAGTACATGAAATATCTACTATATAAGTAAAGATAAGAAAATATTGTGATTGTAAATTGTAGCTTAGGTAACCCATAGAAACAAATATGAAGCAATTAAAAAATATTATTTTATATATATATATATATATTTTTTTTAGTAGAAGCTTCGGACTGAAATTTCTTCCCTCTCTCCCTCCCTTTAATCCGCTCATATTGACGACCAGAATTGGTTTCTAATGGTCTAACAGTTACGATTTCATATTTCATTTAAAAATCTTATAAATGTATAAATTGTATTCCTAAGGTATCGCCACGTTTCACTAAACTATTTATTCGTTTTCAATAACACACACTATTGAATTCGATCATAAACAGAAAATTCTGATATTTAAAACAAAATTAATGAATGTTCTCAAAATGGACGTTCCTTCTATTTATTTAATGTAATCGGAAACTCACTTTTCTTCTCCCAGCCTTCTAGAGAAAACTGTAGTCTCTCCCCATTTTTTTAGCACATTCCTTCTAGAACATTCCCTTGCCCTTCGCAACAAGTCTCACTGCCTTAGAAATATTCTTGGAAATTGAAATTTGTATGAGATGAATTTATGAAATAATAATTGTCGTTACACAAGGTAATCAACTCGGGCGACCCTTCTTCAATAATGACTCATCCAACTCTGAAATAATTGTTGACCCTGGAGAACACTGTTGACCTTCATCTCTTTCACTATTGTTTTCAAATGTCGTCTCTTCTCTGGCGCTCAGTGAAGGTCGCTATTGGAAAATTTCAGACTGTATAAACAATTAGGGAACATCATTATGAAATGTGAGAGAGAAATTTCAAGAAAAAAAGAGGAAATTTATAACAAAGGCAGAATAAATGATAAAATGGAATTTTTAGTTTTCATATCACAGAACCATTTTTTATGGAATTATTAACATCCTAAAAACTTCGTGAAGGGTTCCATGTTATCGTAATCAACAACTTTATTATCTACGAAAATTCTCAGAAAGAGGGCGTTTTCAACTTGGAGATCTATAAACACGTTAATTTAATGAGGCAGTGATGGATTCAGAAATTAAATTTGTGGAAGGGGCCTTTTTTTCTTTTTAATAACGGTATTTACTCTGAGAATAACATTTATATGATATGTTTAATTGGTCCTTGAAGGCCAAAGAAAAAATACGGTAATTCCAAGAAAATTAATGATTAAATTAATTAATTTATAGATAAACATCTTATATTTTTTCTTGACACGTGGTTACACTGAATAGCTGTGTATCCATTATAATTTACTAACAGAATATACTATGATTGTTTAGATATTGAAATTAGACATACTTTGGTCACAATATCGGGAAAAAATGTGGCCCACAAAATAAGGCCTATATAGCCTCAACATAAAATTCACTAAACGCAACCACTGTTGGGATAAATTTTAAATGTCTTTAAAAACCTATATTATGCATTACGCCTTATTGCCAACCTATATTATTATATACTTATAATTATTCTTATTGCCAAATTGTAGCCATAATATGTATCAACTTCCCATAAGCCCAACAATAATTAGAGCATTTATTTCTAATAGTTTCATTCCACGTTATATTGTGCTTCCTTTTATATTTCGTAATAGTTATAATTATATCACAATATACTATAAATAATATTATGTATAATATAATAATTAATATAATGCAATCAAGAGAAAATGTCTATATCGATAAATAACTGCTGTCACCTAGGTAAAATCAAACTAACACCTGGGGATTTCCCATAAAAATATCTGGTCTAAAATCTTTACTTTTTATTAAGAGGTAACAGGTCTTCAACACATTTTTAATTCAATAACAGCTGTATAATTTGTAAATATAATCATCTAAGTAAGTTGAGCGCCTGTTTTCTTCTACTCTCCTAATACTAAAATAAAATAAAAAATGAAAGTCACTAAAAACATGTTCATATAACAGAGGGATTTACTATTTATTAATTTTATAAATTAAATATTGTGACACATAATCAAAGCACCTTGATACATCATGACTAACGAAACCCTACATTTTGACTTCCACCTGCTAACATTTGACCAAATCATAAGAGGTTTTTACCAACAATTTTATACTAATTTATCTACCTGAACTTATTTAAAACCATGGCTCTCTATCAAAACCATATTTATATGCGTTCTGTGCTCTGATGAAAATCAAGTGAGTCAAAATATTGGTAAACACACAAAGCACTTATTTTGTATTTTTGTTGTTGCCCTCCCCTCCTCTACCCCGGTCATGACTTTTATTAGGACCATTTATAGATAACTATTCGTTTAGCCATTATGTCATTGAAGTATTGTTATTGTATTTTTCTTGATATTTGTGGGAGAGGTTTTGATAAAGTGTAAATAATTATTCTAATAATAATCCTTTTGGCTAGGTTGAAAAGGTCTAAGATCCGGGTGATCCTCGGCGACCACGACCAGTACGTGACTACGGACGCACCCGCTGTGATGAGGGCTGTATCGGCGATCATAAGGCACAGGAACTTCGACGTCAACTCCTACAACCACGACATCGCGCTGCTAAAGCTGAGGAAGTCCGTTGCTTTCTCCAAGAGTATAAGGCCAGTCTGCCTACCTTCTTCAGGTATGAACAGAAATTCCTTCTACAACCTCCTATTTATTATATAAGCTGTTATATAGACATTTCTTTGTATATTTGCTTTCATTTATTCCTAATCATCGATTAAGATCACTCAACTATTGTATGATAAGTAGAGGATACTCTGGTACTTTCGATTACCATATATCTACGGTCTCCGGAGTTAACAAGAATAGTCGAAAAATGGTCCTCACGAATTCAGTGAACTGAGGATCATCTTCGAAGCCTTCTAAACACACTAAAGAAGTTAGAAAATTCATAGTTCTCGTCTAGACCTCATAGACATTCCAGTTTTCACCAACCTCAAACCAGTGTGGGAATGCCTCAAATATATGGTTATATCTATAATATCTGGGCGTAACAAGGCAAATCGAAAAATTATCCTCACGTTTCTCTTTATTTTAATCATTTTCCAAGGTTCTAAACACCGTGAAGAAGTTGGTAACTCACAGTACTACAAATTATAGAGATCTAGACGAGAACTGTGAATTTACTAACTTCTTCACGGTGTTTAGAAGTTTTGGAAGATTATTATAATCCACTGAACTCTTAAGGACCATTTTTTTAAATTGCTTTGTTATGCCCGGAGACCGTAGATATATCCATTCACCAGAGGCTGTTTCACAGTGGTTTCGATTCGGCAAAAACCGGAATGTTCGGAAAATACAAACTGACGTTGTTTTGATATTAATCTATAATATCAAAAACAAGGTCATTAAACAATACAGACCAAACGTTTAGCCACGTTTTGAAATATTTTTAATAATCTATAAGTAAAAAGTCTATGTTGTCAACATCGAGGGATTCAAAGGAACCTACTTTGTGTTAACTTCCTGTCGATCTATATTTCTTTGGTTATCACCATCAAAGATAGATCTGAGTTTCGCACATGGTACTTCATGGAAAGGCGTATGGATGATTTCCACTTATAGCTATCTACTTTTAATTTAAATAGTTTTTCAGTTGCGTTCTAATGTTACGGAGCAATTTTAGCTTATACCAGGGAGTGGTCTATGTTCTCCAGCGATCCTTCTACTATACATAAGTAAATTGGATTCCGTCCGTCTATCGGAATTTCTTTGACGGGAACACTGTACTGCAAATTCTGAGATACGTTACTGTCGTGAAGTCAACCAGGTCTCCGACCGTTACCGTCAGTTAACTTACTTAACGTTTTCTGTACTTGCTGATGCTCTCAGGTAATCTCTTTCGCCTATTCTGACATTAAAATCTCCGGGTATATTATTTGCATCCCAAGGGAGAAATTGGTCAAAGTACCTCTCTATTTTCCCATTGAAGGTTTTCTTCTTACTTCGTGATGGATTCGTTACTTTCCCAATACTACATTACCATGTACTAAACGCAAGAACTTTTCATGGATTTTAATAGTTATACAGGTTTATTATTTACAAACTATGTTAAAAATTATCAAAAGTTTTGGGTTAGGACTCATTAAATTGGAATACTTATAACTGAGATTTTTCACTTGAATAACAACAAACATTTTCATAACAAAAAAGGTCTCTAAAAACATCACTTAGCCACCCACCCTTTAAACATGAATTCATTCTGTTGTTTAACCGAAAAATCTCTCATCAAGCAATATGGAGTATTTTCCGATGCATTTTTATTTTTTTTTTTTGTTTTATCCAATACACTTTTTGATGGGTCCATTAATTTTTCGTGCGATTATTTGATTATTAGTGACAATTTAGAAATGTTGAAATTATGATATGATATTTCATTTGATGTTTGTAACGCAACGTGGAAATAAAAATTGAACCAAATTAAAGTGAACATGCGCTTCGAATCGATTATCAAATGTTTCCCTCTTTCCAATAAGTCTGGCACGTGTATTCCAAGAGAAAAACTAAAGTTATAGATAGATGAACTGAGAAAAATAATTGAAAGAAGAATCTGAGGGTAAAAATTCAGTAAAATATTTACATGATCAAAGGGAAGAGAGCCTGGACCGTGCAGATTCAATATATATTTTTTTATTTTTGTAAATGGACAAGACAGAATAAAAAATCAGTAATAATTTTATAAATATTTCGTATAATTTTAATATACATATTTAACAATATTACAATAATTTAATATATATTTTTTATTTAACATATATTAATATACATATTTCATCATACCTACTCAATAATCGAACGTTCTTTAACAGCTCGACCATTTAATTAGATACATTTTAATTGTAAATAAGAAAAAAAATAAGTGTTAGAAGGAAATAAGGTGAGATATAAATAATATTATTTAGTAGATCAGATTATCATGTAACAATTATTCAAGTTAGGTAAACATGATTTAATTCGAATAAGTTAAGATTGAAAAAAAATGATTAATTTTAATATCTAAATTAGCCAATCGAACTAATTAATGAAACCTCTGTTACTTATATTTGTATTATGTAATGAACAAATACCTATTATGAGTTGTACTATTTTAACAAAAATAGTATCCGATATTATTATTAATTAAATGATTATAAAAATGTAAAAGATTTGATTAAATTTTTGTAATGGTGTGTATATATGTGTAAAAAATACCTAACAAAAAATTAAGGACTCATCACCTTAGGTAATTAAGATATTTTTTAGAAAGAAAAAAAAGTTTTCAACTGCTGCCAAGTAATTTATTAATTCTTAACGTTTCAAAATTTCATTCTCATTGGTTTCATCTTCATTTTCGCCATTGGAAGAGAATGAGTTTTTTTTTTTTATGTGTCCTCCCCTTCCTCGCCTTTAAGGCTATACGAGTTTTTTCAGGGCCAAGGGGTGAGTTTGGGGATTTAAAAAACTCCCTCAGCACCCGGACGCGAACTCGGGACTATTTTTTCATCACTTTATTTTATATATCTTAACTTGCCGAACAACGGCTGTGCTGTACACGCACGATAGTCCGTTCGCTACTCCATCCACAGAGAATGACTATTACCTTTCTATGATTTTTATATCACCTAATTAGTTCTGCCGAAGTATCCTTCTTATATATACAATGAAGAGTCTACATGGTTTTCCAGTTACAGCTATTTTATGACCCTTTGAGTAATAAGTTCTCTCAGCGTTATTAATAAAAAATATATATTTTAATTATTGATATAATAATGTAAAATGAATACATTGTTTTATAAACTGACTCATTAATATAATGGGACAGGGAAAAAAAATATCGATTTCACTCCAAGGTTTCTCTAGAATGGGGAAAGTTATAGGCTCCCACACTTTCCATTAGCCCTTGTTTTTTCTTTAGGATATTCACTTGCATATAATTATTAATATTTATATTTACATAAAATAAAATAACAATTACAATTGAATAAAATAAATAATAGAAACATTCATTGAAAATGATTTCCACTTTTTCAAATATTATTTTTACAATATCTAATATCTTCTGCGCATTTGAATATACTGTTGCGGGCCATAAGAGAATACATTGAAAACTAATTAGTTTTTTATTATCACATTTTTAGAGAGTAAAAAAATGTTATTGAAGTTTTTAAAGAAGATTATTAGGAAGATAGCTCAGTGATACCGGCTGTAGCAGTTAATTATTTATTCCGTTAGATAAGCCGTGAATCGATACTGAGGTTGGAAGACCCTCTCGGCCACACTTAGCCTCTTATAAGGAGGTACCCTTTATTGGAGAAAAGCTTAATATTTGAGTTTGAAACCAGCAAATAAGTTGAATGGGGAAGAGTATTTTCTTGCTTAGCACATTCTTGATTTAATTTTGTGGATGGGGGGCTTTTTAGTTTAATAACGGTAATTATTCAGGAAGAAAATAAAGAAGCTATGTAATAGCTTTTAAAGGATTGCAATATATATATAATCGACAGATATAATTATAGTATATATATATATATATATATATATAAAGTACAGGAACAATAATGTTTTTTGGGATACATGTTTTTCTAAACATGGAGCTTATATCTAGTAGTTAAAATACATGTGTTATAATTTATAAAGAGGACATACTGTGATTGTTTAAGTATTTAGCTCAGACAATTTCCCCCCTCCCCTTTCTTGCCTTTTGGTCTCTTGGCGATATATATATATATATATATATATATATATATATATATATATATATATATATATATATATATATATATATATATATATGTATATATGTGTGTGTGTGTGTGTGCGTGTGTATATGTATTATGAGCAATGTTAGATTCTGCGTCTAGTACTGTGTTCCGACATAATATTAGTAACATCTATATCATTAAATATTACTAATAACAAATAAGTAAACAATATATATAAACTTATCTAGTATCTAGAGTAAATATTTTTTTAGGGAGAAACTATACCACAGGCTCCTTGTAAGTAACAATAGCAGATCCACGGAGAGAGGGAGGAGAGTGCTTTCAGGTTGAAGCCCTCTCCCAAAATGGAAAAATATTTTTTTTTCATTTGTCTATATTTGTTTCTATCAAACCGTATAGTTACTATTAAGTGGTATAGTTAATCACTATAAACAGATGTGGATGCATAATTATATTTTTATTTATGTGATACTTATAAAATATTTTTTAAAAATTGTTACTAAGAAATATTCTAGAAGTATCACATAAATAACAATATAAAGATGCATCGTCATCTGTTTATAGTGAATAACTATACCACTTAACAGTAACTATACAATTTGATGGAAACAAATATAGACAAATGAAAAAAATATATTTTTCCATTTTGGAGGAGGGCTTCAATCTGAAAGCCGTTCCTCTCTCAGTGGATCTGCTTTTGTTACTTACAAGGAGTCTGTGATACAGTTTCTCCCTAAAAAAATATTTACTCTAGATACTAGATAAGTTTTTAATAAATATTTTATGTAGCAGACAGTTACATGGGCACAATTTGAACCAACCGAACATAGCAATATGTGATTGTATATTTTGTTAGTGAGAAACATTCGATTGATATTCGTTTTTTGCACCTTATAAAACCCTTAAATACGAAGTTTCAGACAAATAGAAAAATTAAAATTTTCAGCACGAAATTTTTGCCTCGGAAATTTCGTCAACAACTACAGAACTTATGAAAACTTAAGAACGGCCTTACTCATCCACATAAACATTGATAAAGATTTAGGCCTGTGTGATCTACACGAAATGGTATAAACCCGATCTTCGTAAACAAATTAAAACTAAAGATATAAAATAAAAATGGGTTAGGTTTTCATAATTTCTAGCTTGAAGTCAAATGAAATCCAAAAGTTATTGGTGTTAGTTGAAATAGCATTAATTCAGCTTTCCTACGGTTATATTTGAAAAATACCAGCCGCTACTAACAGTTTTTTATTCCAATATGTTTGTAAAATTAAATTATTATTGACAAACCTAGTTGTGAAATCTACATGCCTACCATTTCATTTCTACATTTATTTGATCAAAATTGATCTTATCAATCGAATTAAATATGTTTCATTATATACCGGTTGAGTGTAATGGCACTCAATGCAAAACACCAATTACTTCAATTGTTCAAAACCGAACAAGATCAAAAGACTTAGATAGGTTTCAAGGTCTTGCGAAAAAAATATTTTAAAAAAGAACAGCTGAGGTATATTTAACAAATAATACAACTGAGAATTGAAAAAAAAAAAACAGCTGGCGTGATATGTCTAATATATTTTACACTGAGGCATAATTATGGCATGATTACTGACTTAACAACAAATTAATCGTTCTTATAATAGAGTTTCGAATTAATGTAGAGAAGAATTAAAATGCTGTCGGAAATATATGCTAAAGTGGCTAATGTATGCAACATGACCTCTTTGCTAACACCATCTGATGTATATATCTCATTGCCATAACAACTCACCCGTTGCGAGGTTAGTGTTTAATATGTGCATAAATGAAGAACAATAAACATTACAAATTTCATGGTTTTTATTTATCAAAGAAATTTTGCTAGTTTTTGTTTTGTTTTTTGCATATTTGGTCTTATAAATTTTACATTTCACAGTAAAATTGTTTTAATTTTCAGATCTCGACCCATCTGGCAAAGTGGGGACGGTGGTCGGATGGGGTCGACTTTCTGAAGGAGGTAGCCTGGCCTCGGAGGTGCAAGAAGTACAAGTTCCTATCCTGACCCTGCAACAGTGCAGGTCTACGAAGTACCGCCCTTCCAGGATAACGCCCAACATGGTCTGCGCTGGAATAGGGAAGGAAGACTCCTGCCAGGTCTGATCAACTTACACTATACTCTGTTTTATTTTTCTTGTTTGATAAACTGTTTATTTATTATATGATTGGTTCAGCATTGTGGGGAAATTTAAAAATAACGTCATATTTTTAATTAAATATAAAATCATATTTAATTAAAGCTGATGATTTTCTTATAGCTTGTCAAACGCTTGTCTAATGAGAAACAAACCACCACTCAACTACCATCCAACATTGCAGTATAAAGTATAAATTTGGTAGTCAGAGTAATCTAAATTTCCTTATCAATAAAGTCTTTAATTTATTTTATTTTTTTCTTGAATGATATCTAAATAGAGAAATCTTGTTAGAAACTTATAATATTTCAAATTTTTGGATTGATATTACTATACTTATCATTAATATGTACATAAAATAAAAAAAAAAGTATTTTATAATAATTGTTATTTAAAAAATATAAATTTGGTACAAGTTCCATAACTAGATTTCCGAAAATAACCGAATATGTCCCAAACGGAACCTACCTATCCCCAACTCTTGATTGTAGATTACCATGACCCTGACAGCTATTCTAAGAGGAAATCTTTTACTAATTATAATCATAGATAATAATCGTTAAAATATTGAAATAAAAATAATTTATAGCATTCCGCTTTCATGATCACTCTTTCCGATCTCATAATCGAAATTTGACATATATGACATGAATTTTCTCTGTATCATATTATTTTATTTTCCTAAACATATTTTATTGTTATAAATATTTAACCATTTTGCATTTCTACGTATCTATCAGTGAGAAGGAGGGTGAGAATTTAATTTTAATACAACACACGAGGACTAGCTACGGCCATGTTTGGTTTCATCGAGAAGGTACTTCATGCGGCCATTGTGCGGCGCGGACGGGGTGCGGGCATGTGTATCCCAAACTTGTTAAGGCATCAATGTCTGATGTAAACAGATAGCCGAAACTTGGCTATTTTCGGCATTCATCGGGAATCTTGGAATAGCGTGCTTTGGGTGATCTTGAAACCGGCCGTCGTCTTGGTGTAGTGAAACATAAATAGTACGATACATTTTTTAAACTAATTTTTATCAAAAATCTTTATTTTATGAAAGAGGATGTGGACAAGATAAGTAATGCCAAATGGGATAAAACAGATCTCAAAGTTCGAATAAGTTAAATAGGTAACCGTAAATTTGTAATTAAATTTTATTAAAATTATTTTTAAGGTAAATGGTAAATTTTTCTTCCTTCAATAGCAATAAGCATTATCATTATGATTAGAAAATTACTGTACAATCATATAATGAAACTTTTTTTTTCTTTTTTCTCATCTAGGGTGACAGCGGTGGACCACTTTTGGTCAACAGTGAAGGAGAGAAGTACCAGATAGTGGGTGAGTCTAATCCCCTCAATACTTTTCCAATAGGAGCCAAATCTAGCCGTCAAAAGTAACGTGTAGTCTGTAGGGTTCTTTTCCCACTTTGATCTTCCCTTCATTTGAATTTCATTTCTTTGCTCTCGTATCTTAGATCGTGGAAAATATATACTTTATTTGTATCTTGGAAATTTCTTTTGAATCTCAGACTAACTTAATTCGGCTCTCCCGATGCGAATAATAAGAAAACTAGACAATTCTTTATCACAAGCGAGGAATGCTCTACCACTCAGAGGCAATTGAAGTCAATATCAAAAGAAATTTATAAACTTATAACATTACCGATTCTACTTTCAGATGTCTAAAAAACAATACAGCGTTAAGAATAAAAAAATATATATCTAGCTTCAGATTAATACAGGAAAGCATTGACTTTAATATAATGTTTTTAATGTAATTTAAAAATAGTCTTTTTCGACTAAAAAAAATCTAACTCTTATTTTCATGTTAAGATGAGTCCATTAGGATTATTTTTTTCTTCCTAATTTAATGGACTCAAGGCGAATTTTGGTTCAGACAATAAGTAATTAATTCAAAATATAATTAGAAGGAAAAAAAAATGTTTTTATGTTCACCAAAAACATTTTGGTCCTCAATAAATATTGATCCATTAAAAGTATTTTATAGAAAGGAGATGGTCCGGGGTGGCAGTCATAAATAGACTAAAATAGTGGAAAACTAGACCGCCATCTCGGACCATCTCTTTTCTATAAAATACTCACCGGTCAGCTGTTAAGTATTCAAAAGTATTTAATATTCGAAGAAGAAAACCATACAGTTTAATTTATTTAATAAAGGTAGAACTTGAATCGGAAAAATATTTTATTTTAAAAATGCTTCGGTATCATTAGAATTTTTGCTGTCGACAATTTTTCAGTTGTTTTTTTTTGGACTAGAAATTTTTCCCTTGGAACTTTTCTAGTAAAGGATTAGAAGAACTTCTATTTTTAAAAAACATTTATTTAAAAGTTTTTCGCTAAAAAGTCGATCAAAGAAATAACTTTTATTCATAGCTACTCAAACAAACGACACATCTTTGGTTAATTGAAACAATTCTAAAAAAATTAACCTTAACAAATTAAGAACTTTGTACAATTTTACCTATATGAAAAGAGAAAATTGTGCGCTTATTGTAACTATATTTGGTATATTTCATATACAGTGTTTTTATATCGATTAATAAAGTCGTAATTCATAAAAACCTAACTGAAAGTTAACCTAAATCAGAAATGCACTTAGTGACTTTTTGCAACAAATGAACGACATTAGACTTATGCACAAGGCGAAGTTAAACGTTTATCATAAACCTGGACCTTTATTACAAAAACTTTCCTTTGAACTTTTTTTTTTTTAGATCTCTTACCTAAAAGTTTCACGGAAACTTCTTTTTCTTCCTACACTGCCTTACCTTTTAGGCTACACGGAGTTTTGTCCCACTGGGCACTGAGATTTGAATTCGTAATTATTTTTCCGCTTCTACTTTCCACTTTTCACTTTCCCAGTCTGGTGGTGTTCCTCGAGGAAGTATCCTAGGTCCTATTCTTTACCCAGCCTATACAACTGACATCCCAACCCATCCAAACACCGTTGTTACAACCTATGCCGATGACAAATGTGTCCTAACAGTTAATAATGACCCAACAATTGCATCCAAAATCCTTCAATAACACACCACAAATCTTGAAGAATGGTGTCAAAACTGGAGAATTAAAATAAATCTCATCAAATTACCTTTACCCTTCGTCGTAAATCTATGACCGTACCTATCCTACAGTATACTTTAATATTACCCCACTTATCCCTATTGAACAAATTCAATACCTAGGACTCCACCTCGTCAAACGTCTAACTTGGAATCCTCATACCGGATTGAAACGACAAGATACCGCTCGACGTTTCCGACCACTTCAGCGCTTACTAGACAAACATTCTAACCTTTCAATTAATTACAAAGACTCATATAAATTACTATAACAACTATTTGGACTTATGGAGTTGAGCTTTGGGGCTCCACTAAACGATCGAATTTCTCTCGTATCCATTCTTCACAATCCAAAATCCTTAATGCTCCTTACTTTGTAACAAATAAAATAATCGATAATGACCTGAATGTTGCACATGTTTCCGATTTGACCCAATCTTGATACCTATCCTTCCATAATAAACTTCAGAACCATCCTAATTCTCTCGTTTCTAACCTTGCTTCCTTCTAGATCCCTAATAGCCCTCCTAGGGTAACTATATGGAAGGCCTCGTGATCTCCTAATTTAGATAATTTATTAGAGTGCTACCAATGGATAGATTCTCTACAAGCCTTGTCGTGTCATGTATTTCTCTTTATCACATTTGCTGAATGTATATTAATTTGTACTGTTGTAAATTTCATAAATACTAATAAGAATAAGTGAAAGTAAAAAAAAAAAAAAATTTTAAAAATGAAAGATTCCATTAGTAAGTAACCTATCCGATAGGAGATGTCGGACTGTATACCACCCCATCCATTCCTACTAGTATTTTCTTATCAAAGAAACTAATTGATAAGAAACTGACCAAATTTAACGTTTATATTTTTATTGCTATAATATATGACTATTAATTTTAAAATAATGTATATATTTTAAAAGCCAACATACTAAATGTGGACACAACTTTTTACTCATCTGATTATTGTATTTTTTATGTAAAAAAAAGTTTTGCAATAAAAAAAAAATCTTCATAACTTTGTAACCAAAAAATCCGAAACTAACAAAAAATGGACTTTAAGCAAAACTTATGACTTGGAAAATTTCTTTTTTTAACCTAAACGTGACAAGGTTTTACCTTAATTTAACAACGAATTATAATGATGACGGTTCTCCTAACGAATCATTTATAATAATCAAAATATCATCTCAAGAATATAAATCTTCAGTGTAATATGAATTTACTGTAGTTTGCGAATGTTTATTACCTTTACTTTGTCCTATCTGTAGTACTTAATTCAGTCAAATATTGATCACAAAGCCGTTAATAACGAATCCCAGGTGTTCAAAACGTTTCATAAGAATTTTCGAATTTTAGAGGATCTGTAGATGACTATAGGGATATTTTAAAAAGATTCATATGAGCCTAGTTTAAGAAGAGTTACCCATCTCTTAAGATAATATTAATAGCTGCTAGTTCCTTCTCTCCACCTAACCATGATTAACAAATAATGCTTGTCGTACCTTTTATGTTTTCAATTATTCTCTTCTAGAATGTTTTAATGTTCTTTGCAGTGTTTTACATGTTCCATAATCATGTTTGTATTGAAATAGGTATCGTCTCTTGGGGAGTCGGCTGCGGAAGGCCTGGGTACCCAGGGGTCTACACCAGGGTAACTAGTTATCTCAACTGGGTGAAGAGGAATATGAGAGAGTCCTGTGCCTGTTACTGAAGAAATTGCCTTCAAATCGCTTGGCTGCAAACCCGCCTTACTTTAGTGATTCAAGGCTGTTGTAATTTCACAAATTGAACCAACAAGCCATAGTTTATTTATATTTATTTTCTGTTTTATAAAAATTATGAATGTTACATCAAGAAGTTGAAAAAAAAAAATGTTATGAGTGGTTGTAATTTATCAAAAAGAAATTTGTGATTTTAAATACTAGATACACTTCTGATGTAAAATGAAAATATTAAGTATGCATTAAAAAATAATAAAATGAAAAATACTTGCTGTCCTCAAAATTTTCAAGATAATATTTGAAATATTTTTCGATATTGCCCTCATGAAATCAAAATTAGCTTACGAAAAATTTTGAAAATAACAGTTCCTTTTATAGAGTTTCACCTTTACAGATTACAACAAATTTATTGATTTTTCTTATTTTGGTCTTTTGATTCTCGTCGCAAAGAAGGTAATTTAAGGAAGATCTTTATATATATTGTATGGACTATCACAATGCCATTTAATTAACTTTATACCCATTTTCACTAGTAAGTATTTAATAGATCAACTATTGAATGATATACAATACTTGCTTGTTAGTGAATAGATACATGTTTTAAAGGGACACTGTAACAACACAAAAACAGCTCAGAATTATACATAGTTGGAAGATTACATTTAAAACCTTTATCACTAATAAATACTTACGGTATATATTTTTCTAAGGCTTCAAAGAAAAAAATATGTTATTTCAATGTTATTGCTTGTTTTAACTCTTGTAATAGTTTTTTTTTATAAAACTAAATGGAAGGCTCAACAAATACTAGTTTATCAAAAATGCTTATTTAGATTTAATTATTTTCTTATCCTTGTTGTTGTGTTTTTAAAAACACTTTGAGCACGTGGAGATGTTTCTTAGATTTGTATTTAATAACCTTTTTTTCTGGTTTTAAAATCGTTGATTAATAAAAGTAAATAAATTATTTAGAATAATATTTATTTAAAAATTCAAAGACATGAACTACAAAAAAAATATTTTGTTGGAAAACTCTCATTGAGTTCTTTGTGGCCTTCTTCTGAACATACATTTTTTAGGTATTAATAAACTTCAGCAAGGATTCTCATATTAAGATATTTTAATAACTATAAAACTAAAATAATTTTGCTTTTTTTTTAGTGTTGAAAAAAATGTATATCAAAAAATTGTAACAAAATTGCATATATGAATTAATGAATTGTTTAATCCTTGTTCAGTGATTATGAGATATGTGATTTGTTTCATTCATCAAATTTTGGTGGTTTAGACAGTTTTTTTTATGAAAAATATGGTTAAGGATTCGACAGAATTGTATATTTTTTTAATTGACAACATTTTTTTAATTTTAAAATTCTTAAAATATTGATAATTGATTATTTTTATTTCTTTAAAAAAAATCTGTATCTGAGTATGTAAATAATGTACATATTGTAAATATTGAACATATTGTTGTTATTCATTAATTTCTATATTTGTACAATGGGTGCTATTATTATAATTTAAAAAGATATGGAAATAAAATATAGATTGTACTTTCAGTAAATGATCTTTTTTTTCCCTCAGGTTTAATTAACTATAAAAACTATGAATTGTGTATATTTGCAATATTCTGTATTTTTGAAAAATTTATCCTGAACAACCTATTTTTCGAATATGTATATAAAATTATACATCACCTATTGTTTACCTATTGAATATATTGTCTTTTATAATACTATATTAAAATCCTAAATTGCAAATTGCTTTCACGGTCTTTATCTGATGAGTTTTCATTATTTAGTTTTAAAGATGAATTAGTATTATGCTGCATCATAAAAAAGTATATAGTGATAAAAAAAAAAATGGTTATCATAATGAATAAAGCCCACCTTACTCGGTTCAATCACTATTCTCCAGCAAGGGTACTGAAGGTGAATTGCATTGGAGGAGAGCTATCAACCTGCATATGCAAAACAGCGTTAAGTAATGAAGGAGCTTCTGAATTAGAACACAGCATTACTTTGATGTATCATTGAAAATTTATTTCCAATTAATCATTCTTATCCAATGGAGTGATAGCTTTAACTGAATATTTAACATGAAATTATACTCTCATTTCTTCATTTGTAACTTAACAGCAGTTATTTTATTTTTTTCCTGCTTATATTAATTATAAATATTATCCTCTGACTAAAATTACCAGTGTTATTCTTCTATATATTGTTAATTCAGTAATTTAACCTCTTTTTTAACTGCGGTCCCTTCTTTAACTATTATTGTTATGGACAAGTGGCACTATGCATGCATTACTTTCAAACCAATCATAAATGAAAAAAAAAGGTTTGAAATCATCCAAGTTAAAAAATCAAATAATACTTCAAAATTTATAGGGAATTTTAATACAATTAATTCATTTGATTTTTACTTTAGGCTCTATACGTGATAATCTAGGAGTCTAAAAGTTTGTTGTAATATTCTTTCAGACTCATACCCTGTTTTGCTGATCCCCATCCTTGAAGCTATTTGGCCAGTTGAGTAGCAATGTTTATTTATATTTGGCACGTTAAGCAATCCATAACAGAATTTCTCATCCTGATTAATAATTTATTTAAAAATGGCTTTTGATGAAAATACAATAGCTCCCCAATTACGAATCCGAATAACAAGCATTGCAGTTATTGAAAAGTTAAATATAAATTAGCAGTACTGTTTCCTGTTAAGACAAGTAAAAAGTTTTCCTCATCTAAATAATGACCATTTAACCAAAATCATCACTACTAAGTATGAGTATCTGTGTCATACATCATTCTTTTAATTCTTATGAATCATTTAGTAAAACAAATTATTTACATTTTTAACACAATTTATAAATATAATTTGAAATTATTTTTTTTGTTACAGTGATATTGTTATTATACTTTTATTTATGAATTATTGAAGGGAATTAGTCAAGATTTTTAATGTTTTTCAAAATGACTGCGTTCTGACTACTCATCACTCTTACTTTTATTTCTATTTTAAAATTATCTTAGTACTATTTTACATACTTGAAAAATTCTTCGATTATTTACAACTCACTCATGGATAGATTAAAAAAAAATTACAGAAGAGTTTTCTGATATAACTTTTATTCATGGGATTATATAAATTGCAAATGATGTGATTTACAAATCCAGTAATATGAAACCTACAATTTACAGATTCCAACTTCTTTTTATGAATTATATTAGATTATAATTGTGATAGTTTGATACAGTAATAATGATAGTTAATTTGAAATCCTGGACTAATTTTAATATTGCATTAAAATGTGATATTTTTTTTCTGCCTGAAATTTTATTTTAGTAGTCAAAAACATAAAGTGAATTAGTTGAAGTAAAATCAGATATTTACACATTATATCAATTTTCATTTGCGTATAGCAGTGCCCAGTCTTGCACACCTAGCCTAGTACCCACGGAATAAAATTATTCATTGATCATCATTTAGTAATGACTTAATTATGTAATAATAGCATATATAATATATAAGTAAGTATGGGTGATAAATATTCAGCACGCAGTCTTTTTTAAATTTTTTTATTTTTGCCAACGTTTCAACCCAAATATGTGGGTCATCTTCAGGGGGTGGTTTGAACATGAGGGTGTTCAAGTACTGTGTGTGCATATAAATAAATAAATAAATAATATATATATTATATATATATATATATATATATATATATATATAATACAGTTATTGATTGAAATACATTTTATATTTTTTCTAGATTTGTAGCCGCAACATCCTGACACTCTCATTAAGAGTTTCCAGACTAATATGTCGAGTTTTTATCCATCGTTCCATCTTTCCAACTTAACCTCACATGGTTTCATGGCATTTAGAATCCAGATCGCATATGATGCAAACTATCAACTGCAGGGGTGCTACTGTCTACTCTCTTTCCCTCCCATGATATTCATTGCTTTTTTCTTCTTAAAATAAATGCAAGCGAAAAAGTATAATTTAAAAAATAGCTGATCATATACAATTACACTTGATGCAGTCTGTTCCATGTTAACCTCTGGTCCCAAATGTGCCCCTCTCAAAAACTCAAAATTCAGTCAAAATGTACCCCCTATAAAATTTCGATGTCGTAATTTGATGAAACTCCCTCTCCTTCCCTTTCAAGGCACCTGGTCAACGGTCATAGATTAATTGAATGCAAACGAATTACATTATTGAGTAAAGAAAAGATATTGGATTTTAATACGAATTATTTTACGAAATAAAAAGCAAAGCTTAACTTATCTTTTTCGCATAACTCAATAAAAATGCTTTAAAGTAAATAATTCAATAAGCCATTTCAATGCCGTTTCTATTTCAAAATTTGTAGCTTTTTGGAGAATCACATCCTCCTTCCACTTTGATAATTATGTCATCACTATAAGATTTAGATCATTTTAACATATGAATCAGAAATGGAATTTAATAACGTACATATTGAGCAATCGTTTAGTTATGAATAAAAATTGACAATTCATTAGATATTTCAGGAACATGAGCTGCACAGCTCCACAATGGATTGTCGCATGACCGAGTTCATGGCACAGAAAACAATAGCTTGTTAGTGTGGACATGGGTCATTCATTGTTTAACAATTAGGTGTAAACTAAAAGAAACGTAATACTGCATATTCAGTTATATCTTACGAAATACGGAATCAAAATAGCCGCTTACAAAATAAATCCAACTAAACTTTATACCGGGTCCAAATCCAAAATTAATTTAATATATTTGTCACTCATTCAATTATTGATTAAATAATTTAAGAGCAAACAACATCCAAATTAAGGAAATCTATGTCTATACGTAGGGCCGTGGTTTCCAGAGTGCCCGGTTATGAACGTTGTTGGTTCGATTCCCGCCTGGGTCGGTTAATTTTCTTTTCTCGGCGGTTATGAAAATGAATCTTGACATTCCCACTCTGGTACGTGCACGGGGCAATTTCAAGGCAAATGCTACTCTGAATACCGACTACCAAGTAGTTTACTCAAATTGAATCACTATCGGGAAATCAATCACTATTTTAGTTAATTTTTTTACAACAACTGAAGTAGTAATTAAATTCCCGTGTTCTCTAAAAAGGTCAGTATTTGATTAAAATACTTGGTACTCCGTATTGAGAGTAGCATTTGCTCATCTCAGCCTCAAAAGCCGTCAGGTGTTGGCAAAAAGGACCATGTGGCCCACTTGCTGGATTAGTCCCCCATCCCCTTTCCCACCAATACCAATACATATTTTTCAAACAATTAAGATGCTTCATAATTGTATTTATAGACTATAAACAAAACTGGAACCGAATTTCAGGGTATTCTTAAACACAACTCAATAAATAGAGATGGATTTAAGGCTAATTCATGTCTTTACCCTTATAAGTGAAGTTTTTCTGATATTAAATAATCTATAGTTGAGCAAAAGGCTGATAAAAAACCAAATCATTTTTTATTATTATTATAAATTGAACTTTTTCCGTAAGTGACGATGGCTGGATACCGTCCCAGGAATGTTACATAAGACCTAAATTAAAAAGAATCAGTTAATTATTTCTACAGCAAAATCAGACGAAATAAATAAAAGCCTATTTTCTCACGATACTATTTTTTTTTATTTCCTGAAGAAAGCGACCTTAATTGGCGTTTTTATGACAATTCAAGAGGAAGCCTAAGATCGTGGGAACCCAACAAGAGAATGAGAATTAATTCATTAATTATTAAAAGGGGAGGGGAGAGACTTAACTAGCAACAGAATGGAACCAATACAAAAAATAATTGTTGAAAGTAACAATACAAATTTAAATGTTTTAAAGAAATATTACTAAAATTTCCACTTCTCTTTTACAACACATAAAATTTGTATATCTTATTAAATATGTCAATAAAAGCTTAACACACTGGTAAAATTACAATTTATTATTTTTTTATAGTCAAAAACATAGCTAAATTAATAATAATTTTATATTGTAATGTTATATAGATTTTATAAACTTAAAATTTCACGTAAGAGAAAAACAAACACTGACTAAGTAAACAATTCAAGGGGAACATTGATCTATCATAAATCCTGGGGTTGTTAAAAAATATGACTGATTACGTTAAGTAATTATATGCAGTGAACTATTGTACCTATCCCGGAAGTTAAACAATGGGGGATAACTTTTCCTTATTCTATTGGATTTAATTATATAGCAACTAGGAGAAACGAGCGCCATTTACCTGTTCTATTTTTCTGGTAATTTACTCAAAATTTCTTGAATAATCAACACTTCATATGTCATTAGAATATTTCTTTAACCTAACTGGAAAAAAAAAAAATGTTTTCTTCAGAATAATAATGTTTTTGAATCTTATTATTATTTTTTTTATTCATCTGTCGTTTACCATACCTATCTGAGTGTACAACAAGATTTGCCTCTCATTTCTCCAGATTGTGACCTCTGTGGAGCCCAGATGAAGACCACATCTATCTTCAACATTTCAATTATAAAAATTATTTATTTATCGATTAAATGGACGTTTCTTTCTTGAACGATTCTTATATTTTTAATTGCTAATGAAAAGCTTATAGAGTCATTACTACTTTTAAACTGATCGGGCTTGCAAGAAAGGATCTTTCATTGTGGTTGTCCCTACCGTAGAGACTGAAGAACCATTCCATGGTTATCATGGATGTAGGTAGGGGATGGCGGGTGGGGTACCGTTGCTTACCCCTAAATAATTTGAAAGAAAATAAAACATAATATGATACAAAGCAATTGCCGCAAATTCGTGATTTTTTTTTATGTTGTTCAGTGTGTGTGTATTGTATTTCATATAACAATATTTTTATATCTTAATAATAATAAACTTTTTTTCCGAAAAAAATAATATGTCCATCTTGCCCCCTCTAATATAAATGCATACGCCTTTGATAGTTATATTTGTATACTAAGTATTATAATTATTATTAATTTAACAGCAAATTCAGCATAAGTTATCTCATTGACCATGGATATAATCCAAAATCTTTCTTTGATTCTTAGAAAAATTCTAATACTAAATAAACTTTTTTAGTAAAATAATTGTTTAAAAGAAATGATTTAAATAAAAATTAGAGTTTTGCTTTTTCAGAAATAGTTTATTTCACATGCTGTATTAGTATACTATAAAATAAATAATATTACTCATATTATTATTATTATTAAAATTGAAGTTGTTATTAAAATAATATCTGGAAATATGAAGAATGGTGAGATAGAAACGGATTTAATAGAGAACTAATTAATAGCGAACAAATTTGTTTGTCAAATTATTTTTTTATTATAATTATGCTGTTATAAGAAATAGTCTTGCAATGATGTTTAAATAATACCATTGTAAAAATTGAAAACAATCTAAATACATTTAAATACATACTAGCAGGATGTTGGTATTTATTGATTTAAATAGTAGTCAGACACCTTCATCTATTTGTTTACAATGCAAATGAATTTATGCCACATACAAATATTAAAGGCTACGTTATTTTCCACAAAATCTTATTTATGATTGAGGTCTTATTTTTTTAACATACAATGGCTATTTCATGAGAGCTATGGGCAGTGACTAAAAGCCTATTTAAATCATTATCAAAGTTCAAATTCGGTTGATGTCTTTTATCTGGTTATTTATGTAACTTTTTCCAAGGCAGCGTCTTGGGTTCCGTGCTTGACATTCTCTTAACCGCTGTCATCCCTGCTCATTCCGATGCCTTCCTTGCAATAGTCACTGATGATACCGCATTCCTATCATCCAACTCAGATACCGAAATAGCATCCATAAATCTCCAGAGGTACATTCCCCTGATTGAACACTAATGTAATAAATGGCGCATTAATGTAAATGAATCAAAATGCAATTCCAATTCTCCAGTGCACTTTAATTCCATCCAGCTTCCTTTCTCAGACACAGACCAGTATCTTGGCTTTCTCTTATACAGAAGGCTTACTCTTATACAGAATTAACATGGAACCCATTATACTTATATTACCATTAGACCCATACTATACTTAAAAGAATCCGCCGACGATATGGCCAGCTATGGCAGATGTTGCCGTATAGATAACTAACCAGAAAATCTCAACATTCAATTCATAACAAATTACTAATCTACAAGACAATCCGGAAAAATATTTAGAGATGCGGACTGCAACTGTGGGGAGGGGTGCAGAAACTTTTTCTGACATCTAACGAATTCAACAATTTCAGTTCAAAGTCCTTCGAACAAGAATTGATGTTCTATATAGCCAACAAAACTCATTGACCTTAATATCCCATTTATTCTAGACTTTATCCCAGAATATCTTTCCAAATTCCCTCAGAACCTTACATATCATCCAAATCCACTTGGACAATCCTTATCAAGCTCCACTCGTCCCTAAAATCCTCCTCGAAGGTTGTAGCGGCAGTGGCCCAGAGATCTTTTGTAAATAAGCATATATTGGAGTTCAACTTCAACGAATAGGAGGAAATGCTTGGCTCGAAGTTTTTCTGAGTGAATGAATTTCGTAAATATTGTATAAAAGTATGTGTGTATTTAAGTTGTTATTTTAATTTGTTTGGTTTCATTTTGTTTAAATACATTAACTTTTAGTATTATTATCTTGTTTTTTAATTTATTTTCATTTATTTATATAGAGTTTGAATGAGCTACCATATCACTATTACTAGTACCCTTGAATGTGACAGAATGTAATATTTCTCAATAAAGAATTGATGATTTATGTAACTGATAACTATTGATTAATGTTTCATATCAGCATGTCTTTTGAATTCGGTTCCTGTTTTTAGTATCACAATACGTAGGTTTGATTACGTCAGGTGTGCTCACTTATCCTAGCTTTTAACTACGTAGAACAGCGTTACTGTTCAACGAGTTTTTAAAATAATTTGTCTAATAATGGAAAATATAATTATGTCTATTTGAAAATATTTACATATTAACTTTTTAAAAAAATGTTTGAGTAAATCTCCATCATTTTTTTTTTCAAGTACGAAAATAAAATAAAATAGTAATTTTTAAATCAACGGATCTAATCACTAGCTCGGTGCTCATATAGCACATCTCTTATCTTATTGTTTCAGATTATAACATTATAATTATTTTCTAAAAATGATGAAGAATTCACCAATAAAATGCAGTGCATATGACACTTTATCTTTAGTATATATATATTTCTTATAAGAAAATTTTACATTTTTAATTTACTAATGGATAATTATTTATTTCATAAATGTGACATATTTATAAGCACTTTATTACCTTTTAATGAAATTTTACATAATATAAATGAAATAGCTTAAGAATTTTGAAATAGCAAGAATGAAATAGCATGGCAGCATGCTAAATAAATACTTGTTTATATGTTAAATTATACATTATTACTATTAATAATACCAATAAATGAAAAAATTAGGAGAAACACCAATCGGTCCGCCATTTAACTATTAACCTATAAATGTGTCGTGAAGCAAAAAACTTGAAGATGCCTCCTAGGTTACGGGTATAACCTTAAAAAAATTAAAAAATCTCTCTACATTTTTTAATGCAGTTTTCCCGTAATTTTGTAGTTAATATTTCTTGAAACCTTGTGACCGAATATATATATTTTTTATTATGTTTTATTAAGTGTTGTCTTTGGAAATAGACTCTTTAAAACGCTTCAATCAGCCTTCAGCTCTAGATCAGTCCGGATTGATCGAACGAAGTTTAGTTTAAAACTGGTTCGAATGCTTAATCATCGATGCCCAGGGTAGCCAACCTAAATATGGCCGTCTTGCTTATAGTTATGGTATAGCCAACATATGTTATAATAGCTTTCAAATTATTCATCATATAAAATTTTCATATGAAATGTTCGGTAGATTTTACTTTAGCATCGGGATTTACGCCAAATATTTCTACGACAGCCAGAGAAATGGATTTAAAGGCGAACAAATCACTTCTCTGTTTAAAAAATTATCGGTCATCACACGATGTCCCAAAAGTTTGGCTTTCTTACTTGGACTGAGTTTTTTTGATTGTGAAGACGATTCGTATCTGTCTTTCGAAGCTAAGAATGCTATAAGGCCATTCATCATAGCAGGAAACATGAAAATGAGCGGAAATAAAAAGGATATTGAAGAGCTATTAAAAAATCTAAAAGATGTCGATATATTTCCAGAAATCGAAATCATATTGGCTCCTCCTTCTGTGTATCTTGAATTTTCGAAGTCTAAGGCGCCAAGGAAGATTTCATTAGCAGCTCAAAACTGTTATAAATTTCCATATGGCAGTTATACCGGTGAAATAAGTCCAGCAATGCTCAAGGATTTAGGGGTTCAATGGGTCATTCTCGGCCATTCTGAAAGACGCCAAATATTTTGTGAAAAAGAAACTTTGATTAGTGAAAAAGTATGTCATTCTTTGTCCCAAGGCATGAGTGTTATAGTATGTGTTGGTGAAACTCTCGAAGAAAGGGAAAAAGGAATGTCGGAAGAGGTTATTTACAATCAGATGAGTAGCTTGTGTATGTCCGTTGTAGATTGGACCAAAATTGTTATTGCTTACGAACCAGTCTGGGCCTATGCTGAAGGGAAATCTATTACGCTTAAGGAGGCCCAAAAGGTTCATTCGCAAATACGCAAATGGCTTAAAAAAAACATATCGCCAACTGCTGCACAAATCACACGCATTATTTACGCAGGTCCTGTTACAGAGAAAAATTGCGTTATGCTGGCTAAAATGAATGACGTGGATGGGTTCCTTCTTGGTGATACTGCAATTGAAAATGATGATTTCATCGATATTATTTATGACTCAACGTCATTCTAATTGCCTTTGGGGTGTTGGTGTATAATCCTTCTATTTCATGAATAAAATAATAAATTATTTTGTAATGATTATTTTTAAGAATGTCAACATTTTTAAAGTATTTGATAATAAGACATAATAATTTTAATTCTAAAGATTTCAGAATATTAATTCCTTAATGTTGACATGAATTTATTTTATCATGTTTAGTTTCGATTTTTTATTTAATCAGTGTCAAATTTCGAAAATTGGTTTTTGATTTATCCATTTAAAAACTTTCGGTGCAGAAAATATTTTTATAATGGCTACAGAGAATTTATTATTTGTTGATTAAGAAAAATCCGATTTAAAGTTTTAAAAAAATAATCGATTGGCGATCAGCTGTGAACAATCAGCTGGACTGTTAAAGTTTCTCCTCTTATTTTATTATTTATTTTAAACCATATGTGCCAGTGTTAAGGGCCCTACTAAGTCCCAGGTTTGTTTCTTATATTTTTTTTATTATTTCATCCTAGTATTAATTTTTTTGTGTGAGACAATGCCGTATGTTCACGGTGACCTCAGAAGAATCCTGGTTTCTTTATGATATTTGTTTATTAAATCTACTGACAGATAAGATACAGCATAAATCACTATTTTGCAGTCTAGTTATCATTATAAAGAGATTCGTTCAATTGGTAATTTTTAATAATTTCTTTAACTGTAAAAGTTTAGTTAGTGCATAAAAAAACCAAAAAAAAAAAACCGTGTATTAGTTTCGAAATTATTTGTGTATATTTAATCGAATTACATTCATATGTCTACTCCGATAATAAAAACTTTCATAGCTTATTTATATTTTATTCATCTATATTAAATAAAATATAAACTTTTTGTCGAACTGTTAAGTTGTATATTTTCTAAAACACTGCCGTAGGAATATTAAACATTTTAGTAGGATTACGGATGTTGTGTTGTCTTGTTAAATACGATCAAATGTAAATAATTATTCGGGTTCGAAAATCTAGGAAAACAAATAATGGTTAAGGTTAGGATATGGAAGGTCAAATGAATCTAAATGTCTTGTAAATTGAGATGACTTCAAATAATTGGAAAAATTGACTCCTTATTTATTCATGTTGGTTATAGATACAGTGTATTCTTGTAAGATATGCCATAACAACTTTATTACATAATATAAAAATTTAAACATACTTAATTTTATTTGTTTTCCTTTCATTTAGATAGATTAATTCCGTCTATTAATAAATACCCGCCCTTTCAGTAATATATTTGAAAACAATATAATTTGATGAAAAATGAAATTAAACACATTAAAATATAGATAAAATAATAACTTATAAAATTTTCAAATTCGATCATACTACAGTAACAATGGACTTAAATTTTAACTAACAAAAAAAAGGTAAAATATCAGATTTATACTTTTAGTTACATTCACGAATGATGTCAAGAAAATTATGAAGCTATCGTTGGAAGAAACTGTTATGAAAATTAAAAAGTTTACAAGCAAATTTAATTTACTAAATGTATTTTATTTATTAATACAGTTGTACATATCATGAATAAATAAAAACAAAATTAAAAATTAAAAAATGTTATAATTCTTTTTAAAAAAAACACACAAAATCGTTTGTAGTATTTATTTATGTATATCAGAAGTATTTACATTCATAAATTATATTAAATTATCCATCTGAGGTATCTACGTCAAAAGTCATAACGATTAATAATTTTTTTTTTATGGCAATGTTCCATTCTTAGTAGTCATATGCTAGTATCATGCTCAGGATAAATATGGTAAGCTATTAATTATAAAGAACTTATAAAATCGTACATTCTTGAATTTTTTGTGGTTAAGAAAAATTTAAAATCCGAAAATCGATGAGTTAAACTTGCAATATTCATAGATCCTGATTTAAATTTTGGGAGAGATAATTTTTTTTAATACCGTAATTACAGAAATGATTATGTTCTTAGGCCAAGCGTTTCTACATTTTTTCTTGATAAGTGCTAACTAAAAAGAAAACCTAAAGTAGTTGTCTGAATATTTGGCTCAGAAACAAACATAGACAAAAAATAAATAAAGAAATGGATGTTCTACATCGAGAGGAGGGAGGGTGAATCAGTTCGAATCCTTTCTCTCGAATGTCTTTCTTTATCCACACCACGAAATAAATAATTATTGGTATATATTCCTTTTCCGCCATTATCTCTCTCGAATTTTGATAATTAAACATATTAAATTAAATTAAAAGCTGCTGCGTGATCGTGAGCAGATAAGAGAGAAGACATCGTGAGAAGACCTTCAGTGTGCAGTAACTGCTGCTAATTGGAACATGGGGTTTGAGTCCGATGAATGCAAAAAGAAAACCTAAAACAGGTTTTACCTTCGTTTTCTGCAAAGTTATTACAATCATATAGATTACAGAACGAGTATCAGGAAAACCATTAAAAAATTCTGAACGTTTTAAGAAACAGCCCTCTGAAATCTTATGCATTTCAGATCTTTTTTTAATAGAAAGAACCAGTATCTTTTTTTTTATGAGGATATAAAAGTACTGAAGCACATAAAAGCACATATAAGAACTGAAGATAAAAAAAATAGATTATTTAATAATACTACAAAAGTATAACCTGTTCATGGTCGTTTTATAATTAAATCAATAGAATAAATTAAGTACGGTAATCATAAAGAGATAAGAGCTATAGCCAAAAAAAAAAAGATATGTTAGTCTAAAATCATCCATGTTTTCTATTTTAGTTGTTTAGGTGATCATATAAACAATTAAATCAAATATTTAAAAATTACATATAGATGAATCCATAGAAAACGTCAGCTATTACCTCCTGATTGGTTTTCGAATTTTATTTGTCAACTTTAATTTAATTCGATTCATTCTTTTATGATCGTAGTCCTATAGAGATGGACAAAGTGACATTTCACAGTTATATCCAGTTATCACATATTCATTTTTTATTCATATATATTATAAGGAGGGATAAAGGAACTGTACATGTGAGAAAAAAAAACACTATCTTGCAGTCAACATTTTTTATAAACCTACAGGAAAAAACCGATGGTAACAATGAACATTTATCAAATAGGTTATATTTATTTATTTTTTAATTATTAATTTTTTAATGGTTGAAATTGCAGTATTATTGAATATAATCCTCTCTAATTTGGGCCATTATTCTCTCCCCTGGTTACACATTCATTCAATGAAATCCTAGAAAAAGAGAACCAAGGGAAAGAGAACTTCCAATAGAAACTTGTTGACTAAATAAAAGAAAAAAGAAAATGTAGCGTGAATGAATTTTTTTTTTTTGTAGTGTTTTAACATACTAACATAAGTCATTTTATAACAAAGTTTTACTTTAAAACACTTATCACTACTCCACTCCACAATGAAAGCCAGTGGAAAGAGGTTGGACCCATAGGGCAAGAATTTAGTGTACCATAGACAAGAATTTTTTCATAGAGGACGTTCGCAAGGAAGAAACCTGCAAGAATGAAACCTGGGGGTATTTTTAGAGAATACGTATTTTTATCGAGCTTGAGAACGTTAGTAGAACGTCCAAGAAATCTCTTGAAGTGCGAAAAATCATGAAGATGGATTACGAGGAGAGCTAGATTTTAATACCAGAGCTATCATGTATGAATGTCGAAGATATACTATGAGAACCCTTGCGTCCCTTCCCTGTGATATATCGAACAAAATCGATATATATATATACATATATATATATATATATATATATATATATATATATATATATATATATATATATATATATATATATATATATATATATATATATATATATAGTTAATTTAAGACTTAGAGCTCTTTCTGGGCCACACGGGGCGCTTAGTCCGATAACCATTTAATCCTCCCCGGTATCAAAATCTATCAAGAAAAAAATATATCAAATTTATAATTGTAAAGAAAAAGTAATCTCTTTGTCCAATTTCAATCATTGTCCAAAAAAACTTTCATACAAATATGGGCGGGCTAACCCAGTCAGATTAGGTATGTAACCTTGCAAAATTGGTGTTCGATTTCTTACTTTAAAAGAATTCTTATCGTACTAAAACGTAGAACAGAAAAAAAAAAAAAAATGAACCAGTACACAACCCATGAGGGGTTTTGGGTACAGTACTTTGTTAAATGAAACAGTACTTCAGGACCAACGGTTGTGCAGGAAGGAGATGGAGCTAGCTAGGACCACGCTCAATCACTTTGATTTACCCCTTAATTAAATATATAATTGAGAGTACTCATTTTATAAGGGCTGGATATGTCCCAGAAGGGTCTCCCGATCCCAGGGTCTATCTACGGCTGATGAAAAATTACTTGACATCAGCCGGATTCGAACCCAGGATCTTGAGTATAGCGTCGCAGTGTCTAACTAAGCTACGACACTCCCAGGTAGCATAAATATTATTCTTTGATTTTTTATAACAATATGAATTAAAATGAATAAAAAATATTCTTTCCTGTGTTATTATAATAAAGTTTGTTGTCATTATCCAACAAATAAAATTAGAGTTATTTAACTCAATTCATCTCTATAAAGCATGGTCAATTTCATAAATCAACAATTATCAAGATAAGCGGCAGTTTCAGTCATTATTACTAATGACCGTGCATTAGAAATAATTTCCTATTATTCGACCTACCTTTAACGCTTTAATAGATTTAATAACATTAAATTTAAGTAAAACGTCATTCTTTATTGACCTCAGACTGCATTCTCGCATGATTGAGTGCCTGAAGAGTATTCTTTGAGACATTACAAATATATTATAGGCCGTGTTCACTGGAATATGATAGTCCCTTGTGTTTGGCCAAGCGAGAGTTTGTATACCGACAAAACAATTTCAATATATGGTAATCGTTTTATGGCGGCCACGTATAACGCAATCGATCGGTATTGTTTGAGATATTTATATCATAATCATAAACTACATTCTATATTTCTCAACACCACCATTATTTATTATTATTATTTCGCTAATTTCGTTTAATAAATTATTACGAATTATTTAAATGCATACAAAATCGTGTGATATAAATGTCAGGGTTTCTGATTCCATCTTGATAAAAGTTTGCAGACAATAAAATAAAACAAATAATAAAATTTTAAAAACACTGGACCTTCCTTTAATTTTAAAACTGGTAATACTTCCTCAGCTATTAGGTTTCCAGACCTGCATAGGAATATATATATATATATATATATATATATATATATATCTTTTTTTTTTTTTTGTCATTGGTCCAATAATGTGTCTATGAATGATGTGAACCAAATACTAAAACAATCACATTATGTTCTCTTTTAATATAACATAATCTAAAAGTAGCGCGTGTCATAAAAACTATAAAAATTATTTCCTAAAAGCATTATTGTTTCTGTAATTACCGTTTTTGTTTTATTAAACTTCAAGTACCATTTTGTACAGTTTTCTTCCGGAATAATTACAGCTTTTTAAAAAATAGATAATTCTATATTGATTTATTATCTCTCTCTCTCCCTTCAATATATTCTACTTTATTTTAATTAAATTTTTATGAATTCCATTTCAGTTCTAATATTAAATTACTTAATTTTTCATACTTTACGATTACATATTTTAAATATTTTTATATCATGTACTTTTTCATAACTTTAATTCTTGTGCACACTGATTAATATCTCCTTATTACCTCATTTAATTACAATTAACATAAATTTATTGTTTCCATTTGCTATTTTATTTATATGTTGATTTTCTTTTTCCTGATGAAGGCCCGCAACAGAGGCGAAACGTTGGCACTTATAGAACAATATTAAACCTATGTATTGTTACTGGCCGTATTTATGTACGTGTATTACTGACCGTACCATCTTATCATTGCTCTAAAATAATTCATAATTTTTCACCTAAATATTGTATTTTTCTTTAAAAATTAAAAACTTTATGGTAATGTACATAAATACATATATGCCCGAAAAAACAGACTTTCCGGGACAATCAAGTATTCTTTTTTTGAGCATCCAGATGAATTAGAATGTTTCTATTACTTCTTTTTTTTCCCCTATAGTTATAAAGAAAAATGTATAATGACGACAATTTTGGTCATGAAATAAAAATAAATGAATGCACATCATTAAATACAATAAATCAGTTTAATATAATACAATAAATGTTTTAAAAGTGAAAATACTTTGCTTGTTAAGTGAAACAGAAGTGTAGCGATGATAAAAACGAGAGAAAAATTTATATAGGCAAAACTACCGAATATTGATCACGAATATCTCAGAAACTATACACGACAGCTAAAAAATTAATAGGATAAATACTATTGCACATTTCATCAGCTTGTGGATCCAGAGGCCAATCCAACCAATCCAAAAAAAAATGTGTTTGGAAATTGTATAGAGCATATATTCTTCAAATGATGCATTATTACTATAATAATTGTAAATATAAGGGTTAAAAATTAAGATATGATTGGTATTTTAAATATCGATTGTTTTACTGTCATTTAGAAAGTTTATTGTTTCATATTATTAAAAATTTCTCTCGAAGCAATTAATTTCACCAAAAAGTAAAATTAAAAAATAGTAATTAAATCAAAGATAGGAAATATAAGAATCAATCAGCGCAGTATAGTACTTCAATGGAAGTCTTGGACCGACGAGAAATAAAAAGAAAAAAAGGATCAAACAATTCTTTCAAAAGAATTTAGGTCAGTGATCTAAGTCCATTTATTTCTCATTCAACGAATTTAATAATTTAAATAAATAAAAGTTAAACTTTTAGGATAAACCCAGAACTTTATTAGTAAAACTTTCCTCAGAAATTTCATTTTGAAAAGTTTTTCAATAAATTTCCTTCCAAACTGTTATAATATAACTTATTTAATAAGTTCTATAAAAGTCCTGATAAATACTAAATGCACAAGTGTTAATATATGTATTTATGCACACGACCTATTTTTACATTGTATAGTACAACAATTGCTGGTGCCTCCTGGGTCTCGTGGGATATTGCTAAATTTCGAATTATCGATTCATTTCGAAATTTCCTTCGAGCCAAGACTAATAAAACGGGTTAGCTACGGTTCTGAATCAGTCAGCTCCTGTATCCACAATCAAACGGATAGCCAACAAAGGTAAATAAAAATAACTCTAATTTTATACTTTAAAAGTGTCATAGTTCAAGTGTTAATCAACGAAAATAAAAATAGATATTAAAAATTCTAAAAACATATTTATAATTTGAACAGGAGCACAATGGGTTACAAACCAGAAAATATAAATGGAATAGAGAATATCGACAGCGCGGAGATCTTCGAAAAGGGCGAAACCAAACCATTCAAAGCAAAAATCGCATGGCCCAACGTCTTGGGGTTCGTCCTGCTTCACTTGGCTTGTCTTTATGGCCTGTTTCTTTTACCTAGGGCTAAATTACTCACCAGTTTCTACAGTAAGTATTCTTTTATACACACACAACTATATATATATATATATATATATATATATATATATATATATATATATATATACACACTAGCTTTAATCTACTATTTTAATAACCTATTTTTTTTTTAAATTTACAATAACATTTTAATCTATATAATTTTATTTTAAAATGTCCACGTTGAATCATGAAAAAAAAAGTCATTAGAATCGGTTTAAAATTGAAGCGGTGTTACAAAAGTTAGCTTTTTCCCATTTTCTTTTAAAAATGGAAGATGTCCGTCTTTGATACAAGACCACTCATATGCATTACACTCATATAAACTCAGTCAATCTCCCAAAACCTCGGGATATTTCTTTTCAATTAAGTTCAAATCTATTCTTTTTTTCGTCTTGTAATAAATTGTTTTCTATAAATTATTTAATACTTATACAGCTCTGTTCCTGATGCACTTCAGCGGGCTAAGTGTGACGCTAGGTGCACATAGACTTTGGTCGCATCGAAGTTACAAAGCTACACTTCCGCTGAAACTTATTCTTCTATTCGGGCAGACCATGTCTGGGCAGGTAAGTGCAATGTTTTCTATTCTTATAAGATTGAACAAGGTTAGTTAGGTAATATAATTAATACTAAATTAAAATTAGAGAGCAACATTAGCTCTTGAACTACAATAATTTCCAGAAACAGTTTTAATTTCCCAGGAGTTATTAACATAAACATTGCCATTTTTTATCATGGTATTAAGCGGTCTTGGTCTTGGTCTTGGTATTGCGCACTGTCTTGGTCTTGATCATGGTATTGCGCACTCAGTCCTGGTCTTGGTCTCGGTCGTGCAGCAAGAGTCTAGCAAGTCTTGCTTTTTACTATTAGCTTATTGTTCTTTATTCAAAAAGTTTAGATCTCAGAACGACGCAACGGAAACAGTGCATTTTGAACTTATATTGACATAGCAATATTCACTAGCGAATTCAGGATTTAATTGTGGGGAGGGCTCCAGCTCGAAATTCCCTCCCCCGTAAATACGACATGTGTTAAGTAAAAAGTAGTACAAACAATGAAACTGACTTGACAATACTTTAAAATTGACGAGTTAACTATTTTAATTTTAATTTTATTCACGAAAACGCGGTTTCTGTTGTTTTGTCTTGCTCCGGTCCTGGCGAATGTTTAATTTTTTCGGCATTATTTGGAGAGCTGTACTCAAATACGATCCACAAGAAAAAAAAAAGCGCTATTTAGAAATTTAATACTAGATTAAAATGTTAATTCACAAATAATACTTTAAAATATAATAAGCCATACAAAAAGTTTTAATTTTATAACGACCAACTTCGTGGTTAGATGGAACTTCTACCAATATAGATATTGAAACCTAATACCAAATTACCCATAAATCTCAGTTTGACTTAACCGGCAGATGCAAGAGTAACGCAGGACTTGCTCAAACCTTGCTGGATCAGTTTTGTTATGGCTAAATCGTAAGAACGACATCTCTTAACTTAAATGTGTTAACTGAAATGGATTATCTCCTTTTGTTAAAAATAAATTTTAACTTGTTCATTAAGTATTTTTTAATAAATAAATAAAGCATTGCTAAATATAAACTGGCAAATGTGTTTGAAATTAGTTATAAGATAATTGTTGCCCTATTTTTATCAACCACGATCATAGCTAAAAATAGCAACATTCAAAAATATACCGATTGGTAATTAATAGCAGCTATCTAATCTCTCTAACTCGAAACATCACAGAGATACCACATCGTAATATAATTGTATGCGCTGTTGTATTTGACCGATGAACTCAGTATTCTGGATAATTTTAATAGTTTTAGACTATGGTTTAATTTATGACATTAATATGTGATGATATTATTTATGTCCACAGAACTGCCTATGGGTGTGGGTAAGGGACCACAGACAGCACCACAAATACAGCGATACGGATGCCGATCCCCACAACTCGTCAAGGGGTTTCTTCTTCTGCCACATAGGATGGCTCATGGTACAGAAGCACCCCGAAGTCTTAGCCAAGGGGAGACAAATAGACATGACCGATCTTACTGCTGATCCTTATGTCATGTTCCAGAAAAGGTATAATTAGTACAAATCTATGATAAACATTTCAATAGAAATCATTCTTCGAGTTACAGGAGTGCCATCTTGTTTTAGATATTACAAAACATTGTACACGCTCTGTGCCATAATTATTCCGGTAATCATCCCATGGTACTTTTGGAATGAGGACATAATCAACAGTTTGTTTATATGCTACTTTGCCAGATATACGCTCCAACTCAACTTTACCTGGTGTGTAAACAGCGTCGCCCACATGTTTGGAAATAAGCCATACGACAAGTGAGTATTAAAACATTATTAATTCTATAGGAATAAAACAAAGTGATCAACATTCAAAATTTTATTCACAAAAAAAGTAAATATTAGTTATGATCTATAGCAGGGGTTCACAACCTTTTTTTCAGCAGCGGACACAATTATCGGTTATGTCTTGATACCGGCCATCGTGTTTTTGTTCATTGTAAATTGCATGTAGGTTACAGTTAATATAAATTTAATAAGAAAATTATAATGGTATCAATAAGAAAAATAGATATGTATAGTAGCAGAAATCATTACCATTTCTAAAACTAATGAAATATATTTCTACAGAAAAGGCGAAAACACCAAGTGCAATGATTGTATTAATTTTATATATTGTATTTCTCTTACATTAAATTAAAATATTTTCAAATTAAAATTGAAAATTAATTAAAAGCTACATTGGCTAAAGCTAGTTATAAAATGCGTCAAATGCAACGTTACCAACAGTTTCATCCTTTTTTTTTGTTTTGTTTTTTACCAAAGAAAGAGATTAAACAAAACAATAGTAATGATTTTATATCGATAAATGAATTATTATTTTTAAATTATTATTTTTAAATAATTATTATTATTGAATTATATATATATATATATATATATATATATATATAGATATATATATATATATATATATATATATATATATATATATATGTAAACTCTTATCAGATTTCCAAATATTCATATATTTAATAAAGGAAGTGTAAAACATTTGAATTGAAAACTTGTCGTCTGCAGCATGCCACGTAAAAAAATATAATGATTTAAAAGAAAAAAAAATATAACTTTCAAAGTGATCACTCATACTTACAATTAATTATTAGACATTTATTAAAATAAATATTCAACACTTTATAGAAAAGTTTGATGCAACAGCATGCAACAGTAAAACTGCAGTCAAGGCGATGGCCCCTAAAGGTTATGTTAGACATAGGCGGGCACATTCAGGGCAAAAGTGACAAGTCAGGCTAGTCTTGTCCAAATGTGAGACCAAGACGATTCTTGGTCATACGCACTCAGTATTGGTCTCGCAAGACCAAGACCGATTTCGGGGAACACTATGTGATGCCCGTGAGATTTGGTTTGAGAATCCCTGATCTAAAGGGAAAACCCTACTACAAAGCAATGAGTTTAGCGCCGATAACCAGTCGGCTAATCCTTCTTATTGCTTTTCAATACCTTTTGATATTAGATTTATTGTTGCTAATATAATTTTACAATTTCTTTCCTCTTTCTCAGACGAATCAGCCCTGTGGAGAGTACCTTCGTGAGCATTTTCGGATTGGGAGAAGGCTGGCACAACTACCACCACACATTCCCCTGGGACTGCAACGCTGCGGAGTTCGGAAAAGACTACAACTTGTCTTCCAGGCTGCTGGGTCTTCTGGAGCGGTGGGGTCTCGCGTACGATCTGAAGGTTGTTGGCAGGCAGATGATGATAAATAAAATTGTGAAGTACGGCGACGGCACCCACCCTGTCTTCTGATTTGTAGTATTTTTGTAAAATAGTAAACTATTATATATTGTAAATATATTTCTATTAATAAAATTATATTTATTCATAGCATCACAAACCAAATGTAATCAATCAGAGAAATATTTATATAATTCAAAAATTAGAAAGAAGGATCCATACAATCCTCGCGTATTAAGAATACTTCCAATTAGACTTAAATATTTTTTAAACAATTACTTCATAAGCGAATAAATGGTATCTAACCATAATACAGATACTTCATGGACTCATGATTTTATTTCGTCGATTTGTATTAAATATTAATTAAACTAGTCAATAATATGCATAACAGCTAATAGATAAACAACTATTCACTATATATATATATATACATATATATATATATATATATATATATATATATATATATATATATATATATATATAATATTTTGAACTCATTACATAAATGAATGACTATTCATGATAAAATTATTATTAACTTTTAGAATGATTTTCACTACTTATACCCATAAATAGCCTCAATTTCCCAACAATTTATAACAGTTTTATGTGGTTCATAAGCAGATAATGTTTCACAAAGGAAAATCTATTCATTTATCTATTAATCTATTAATTATAAGCAGCATGGTTCAAAATCTAATTTAAAAATAATAACTCGTTAACATACTTTATGGATTCATATTTTTTGTATTTTTTTGATTTATGTTATATAAAAAAAAGTCAATCATATACTGATTATGGAAGACTTAACTATACATAGACTTGTGAGTAATTTTATGTTCACATTTAGCTTAATTACATAACACCATAAGCAGTTTTTACTTCCCATGAGTAAATAATTTCAAAAATAGTAAAACATTTGTATTTGTAAAAACAAATGCAAATCGGCACATAAACTTCTAATGTGAAAAAAATGCGAATTAAATTTTTCTGAAGCTACTTAGACTCCACCTTTGAATTATAAAAATATAACGATCATTCAGATATTCTTTGTTGGGAAAGAAATTAGTAAAGTTCAGTTTCAAATAATTTATTTATTACAGTAGTACTCCCTTGTCTACGTTTCGGGTTTTTTATATATTTAGATTTTTCATATTAATTTATTTTTTATCACCTTATACCTATCTATAAAATATTCATTATTTCTTCATTACACTAAAAGTTATTAAAAATACTGTATTTTTTTTTATGGAGGGTGTAGGTCAAGTTTCCATTTTCAGGGATAGGTTGATATATCAAAAATAAAATTAATAAGAAAAATCCGAATATAAAGAAGATCGTCTATGATAACAGGTTAAGAGCCGGAAACTTCTATGATTGAATAAAAATAATAAATACATCATTTAAAATTTTAAGAAGGTTTCTTCACATAAGTATTGTTTATATTAAATATTGTTTATATCAATAATTATCCATGTTATAATTATTAAGTAAGTCGCTAAAGACTCTTTTTTAAGGTGTGGAGAGTTATGAAATAAATATACAAAGTAAAGAAACATGAAAACAAACTTTATAGTGCCAGAAAATACTCCTAGGTGTTCTTATATACGTAGAATGTAGTTCCTTCTTTTATTTTTTCTTCTAGATTTATTTCTTCGATTTTTTTTTCTTTTAGATCTTTTGCCTCCTTAACCAGCCTTCTCCTTTGCCAATCATGGACTTTAGTTTTCAGTTTTCAGTAAATTTTTTGTTAATTCATCCTATCTAACTGATTGTTGGCCATCCACGTGTTCTATTGCCTACTATTAAGGCGTTCATTGCGTAAGAGAATTCCTGATGAATTATTCCGAGCTAATTGTTCTACATATCTTAACCACCTTGACATTTTTGACAGTTTTTGGCGGTCTTCCTCTTGCATTCACTAGATAGATATTTTTTTTTAATTTGTTTCAAGGGGGTTCCCCATACAAATAGAGCCTAGCTTGGCTATTGTACAATAAGATGGTATTACAAATTTACATACATATAATTCAAATATAAATCAAATTTACAATATTTAACGTTTAGAATGGTTTTCACAAAACATGAATAGCAATAAAAATTAAAAACATAAAACGATTACTGCATAATATTGGTTATATGAACCAGTTACTATGATAGAAACAATACAAAATAAAAATATAAACTCTTAAGATAAACTAAAAGCAAACGCTTAATAGAACATGGCTATGATCAACAATTTTGTGTATGCACTTTGTGAACTCCCATCATAAAATAGTAAACTTTATTTTAATTTATTTATACAATCGATATTCAGTATGGAATCGACGTTGCGGTTATAAGAAGATTCTGAGATGAAGTTTTGAAGGAATTTTTGTCTATAGTCATTGTATGCTGGGCAGTGAAGGAGAATGTGATGTAGACTATTGTAGATAAATTGGCTGCATGAAATACAGGTTTCTTGAGACTCAATCGAAAATGTTCTGTTTTTTGCATGGATTCTGATGTGTTCTGGGTTTGCAACTCTTAATTGACTAACACATCTCAATTTCTTTATGTGGACTTTGAATGTAAGATACGTTTCAGGATCGGGAGAATGGTAACTGCATATCATTCTGTATAAAGGGTAGTTAGTGGAGTTTAAAGTTCTTTGTATGTCGGCTGAGAAATAATAGTTGTGTGCTTTTTCAAGGATGTCGTCTTTGTATCGAAGAAGTCCGTTTGTGTGGTGAACAGAAAGCTCTTCTGCAAAGGCATTAAGTTCGGCTATTGCTCTAAATTGAGACACCCAATTGAAGTCTATGTCAGGCTTATCCTTATCTAATGTTTTAAGACTATTAAAACAAAGTTTTGGGAGTCGCTCTTCTGGCATGAACTCGAGCTTGGTCCATAGATTTATCATCTTTTTTATTAATTTCATTCTTAATGGTTCTCTTCCTGTTTCGAGGCGTAGTATATAGTTTGGGGTATTTCTGGGTCAACCAAACAGTTGCTTTAAATACTTAAGTTGGACCGTTTCGATTGCCTCAAGATAATTGGTGCTCCATATTTCAGAAGCATATCCATTCACTATAGTCCAGCAAAGTTAGGGCCTTAAAGAAAAACAGCGTATAACATTAAAAAAATAAAGATGAAACTTCTTAGAAATTATTCATTACTCTCTCCATAATAACTGGTAATAAGTCCCTAAGTATCCCCCGTCGGGTTTTGAAGGCGGGAAGGAGTAAAGAACAGAAAACTGATATTTTTTTAGTTTTTTGAGAAAAACTGAGGTTTTTCGGAAAGATTGTTCAGTACAATTACGTTTCATACAACATAAAACGTGGATGGTTTAAAAATTACAAAATTTAATTTTTCTGACTGTCAATGACTTTTAAGAATCATTAAAATAAAGAAACTTTGAATAATAAATTGAACTATTTAAAATGTTGGAAAAACTAATTAAACTTCAAAAAGATATAGTCTAATATGAACAAAATCAATTTCGTGGTTGGAGTAATTTTTGCTTCAAGTGTAAATGAAATAAATATAATCACATAAATATCTCCGTACCCATAGATTTTATCAAAAATATGTATGAAATAATTTTTATATAGCTTTTTAAGTACTTTAATATTGTACTGGACAATATTTTTGAAAAACCTCATAGATTTTGAAATATTCTCAAAAAACTAAAAAAAAATCAGTTTTCCTATCTTCACTCCTTCCACCATCAACACCCGACGCGGGATTCTTACCGGTTATTATGAGGATAGTAATGAACAATATCAGACAAGTTTCATCTTTATTTTTTTAATGTTGGGGTCAATCCCTAGTTTTACTGGACTCTGCTCGTTGATTCCTCCTGTTATCGTGAGAATATTTTCTTCTTAAATTTTTCAATGATTTCTTCTATATTGTTGGTGTGTTCTGGTCTCACAGCCGTGTATCAAAACTGTCTTTATCATTGCATTGTACACCGCCAATTTAAGATTTATAGAGATTTCAATACCTTTGAAAGAGAGAAGAAAGTCCTGTTTGCTCTTGTTATGTAATGGTCTATTTACGAATTTTATTAATTTTTTATTTAGTAATATTATTATAGTGCTTTGAAGTATTTGAGTCTGTCAACTTTTGAGAACGATTTCCCTTCTATTCAAACCCCTCGGAACTATATTTTCGGCTTGCAATCTTATACTTTGTTTTGTCTTAATTTACTCGCAGTCCGAATTGCTCTGATTCGGTTGTTATATTCTTATTACGAGTATCTTTATGTCCTTCATATATTTATTGCGTCTAAGGACATACATTTAATAGTATGCCATTTGATACCAGAGCAATTAACATAATTTATTATGTATTAATACAAGACCTTACAATTATTGCATAATAATGTGCCTTAGATGTTATAATAAAGACCTTATAACAAGATGCAGTTCAGTCTAAATATAAACTGAAAAAGGTAGACAGGAATATTTAGTTAACGTAATTGTGTGCTCATCTGAAAATAAAAGCCCGTCTATGAAACTATCTGGAGATATGTCGTTAGCCTGATCACCAAATAATCAGAGATTAATCACGTTTTTAATGTAAGTAATGAACTATTATTTACTCCTATACTAGCTTAATTTCTTTCTTTTTTGAGGTCTAAGATTTTCATAGGAAGTGATATACAGCAAATGATTTTATTATTTTAATCTGTTTTTGTAAAGATATTTAAACTAATATTGCAGTGCTAGAAATCTCGCATTAAATACCTACCTTTTTTTCTTTCAAATATATTAGAAGTATGAATGACATTAGGAAAACATCTTTAATTGTTTAAAGATTATAATCAAGAAAGTCAATTTAACGCATATAATTAGTGGAAATAATTCATAACAGGCCATGGCAAAAAGTATTTTATTATTTTAAACTATATTAAATGCATTGTATTTTAATTACAAAATATTTAAATTAAATTGGCGAAAGCGTTTTGTACTTAAGTTACAAAATACGTCTCATGTGGTTGCGGTATACATATATTTCATCACAAAATAGGTTTATTTTTGCGAGAAAAAGAGTTATGAGATCAGATTGCTGTGTAC